CCACTGCTACTCACAGGTAAGACCACCGCCGTCTTGTTTCTTTGGTGCAGATGCCACTTGATGGACCAGGCCTGACCCAGGGCCTGTTTTGAGCTCTTGATTCCTTAGTTTCATTATTCTTGATTAGATTTAGGATACTGATCATTATTCTGGCCCAGTTTAGTTTATTTACCGTGTATTCTTGTTATCTTCTTTACTGTTCAAACCGGTTTGGGCTGCTGGTTATTTATGTTCTCATGCTAGGTTCACCCCATAACTCATAACCCTGGGCTGTCCCATCTTCACTAACCTGCTAACCTTAATATTTCACCTTCATGTACCGGCAGTACCACTGATTCTATTTAATATATTTTTGCCTGGTTCTTTCTCTGTTTGATCTCCTGAGTTTGTTTTTATTCTGTTCCCTGTGCTGGTGCTGTGGTGCTGTACTGGCTGGACCATTGACCTTTAGAGGAGCTGACCCCAACAAAATGATCGCTCTGCATGATCCACTTTGTGCTTTGAGGAGTGGCTACGATTGTTGAAATACAAATTTTTGGAACATTGGGCATCCTGGTGGTCACAAGAAGTCCAGGCCGCAGGTAAAACAGCCTTCAGGCTGGGCCTGGGAGCAAAAGTGGATTATGTGGCTTATGGATCTTTACCACGCTATATGGAATGTTCTCTGGCTCGTGCTCGTCTGCGACTGGCCATGCTGGCATGAGGGCTCACTTGGCGTGTTTCAATTTGTCTTATTCCAGTATGTGTCCTATGTGTAATACTGAGGACACTATTATTCACTCCATCTTGCGGTGTTCACTCTACACAAACTAGAGGAGAGAGTTTCATTCCAACTTGGAAAATCTTTCACTTCCTTGGAGCCTTGTATCAGCTCTTGGTGGGGGAGATATCCCTCAGAAAATAATAAAAATGTGCACAGCAGTAATTTGTTGGCTGGGTAATAATTTGTCGCAAAGCAGTACTACCTAATAATAATAATTTGTCACACAGCAGTAGTACCTGCTGAGCTGCAGCATGGTAAATGCCCTATGAAGATGCCCAGTAACTAATTTCTTTTATCTCTTCTCACACAACAAGCACTGGCTGGTGAGAGTGAGCTAGAAATTAAACTGTGAAATGACAAGTGGCAAGAAGAAAAGGCTCAGATAAAAATTGAGTTGGGCTCAGACTGGGAGGTGTGATTTCTTCATACCCAAAGTCTTAGAATCAATTACAAAAAAAACCTCTAGTACTAAAAACTACACATTGTTATGCATTGTAGGGAGCATTTTCTTAATTTTTAATTTTTTGCATTTCATTTTGCACCGTTTGCTCCTCATCAACCAGAGTAGGGAATTTTGCTCAAATCTAAAGAACCTTTCACGCTCTTGGAACCTCATCACAGCTCTAGGAGGGGTTATAGCCATCAAAAATAGAGACCTGCTGTGAGATTTGTCACCTGGGGCAATACCTGCTGAGATGCAGCAAGGTGAAACACCCCATGAAAATAATCTGTGCCTAATTCTTTTATTCCACGCAACAAACACTTCCTTGTGTGAATGCAACAGAAATCCAAGTTGAAGCAAAAATGGCAAGATGAAACAAAGTTCCAACAAAAAATCCGTTGTACTCAGGCTGGGAGGTGTGACTTCTTCTCATAGTGGCAATGCAGTGAGTGTTTTAGACTCTTTGTCAAGTTCAATTTTGAGTCGTATAGGCAAATATAGTCCTATATAGACCAGCAAAGTATCATGGATACCAGCATTATCATGCATAAGATGTTGGTTCAAAATTCAAATCTTAAGTAAATGAGGAAATTAAAAATTAACTGAATTTAAAAAATCTCTGGTTTGCCACTATTCTTCCTCACACCCAAAGTCTTAAAAGCAACTTGAAAAATTCCAAGTGTATCAGTACAGAAACCTATTTGTTTTGACTTCTACCACTGGCAAACTGAACTACAAAATCATTATTGGTCAACAGAAAGGAAATTATTTCTTGTAAACTCTAATGTTTGTTGAACTGAAATTGAGTTAAAAACAGTCAATTTAAGCATCCAATTAGAGTTTTCTGTTGGTATGTATGGTTTGCAGGGGCCAGCAAATGACCCACCTGGCTTAGGTTGTTTACTTGAAAACTACATGTCATGGAGATCATTCAATTGTTAAGTGTGTGAATTTTTGTTTAAAGTGGTGTTCAACTCGTATGTTTGTGCAAGAACAATAGTGATGGTATTTGCACTATATGTTACAAGGAACCGTTATTTGTAAAATAGTTATTTTAGGGAATGTTACATGGCATGCAGAAGCATGCCATCCATGTGTTTTCTAAGCAAGATTTGGAGATGATTGTATACAATAGACTGTGCTAGGAAGCCATATCGTAGGTGCAGTGTAATATAAGCAATTGCACAAAGGAATTTTATCAATCAAGGAGTAAAGTTATTTATTTGGAGAACAGTACAAGTTAATTGGAAATGATGACACATTGTGTAAAATAATAGTTTTGAAAACCGTGGAAAAACAGTGGTTGTAACTAAAAAGACTTAGGCAGATCTACTAAGACCTAATAGTACCTCCAATCCTAGCATTCCACCATGATGTATATAAATGTTTACAAATGCTTAGCCATTGTTCAATTCAGAGGTATAAACACTTGGAAAATTCCATCTCACAAAACAAACCATGCAATAACAGGACTTACAGGAGTAAGTTGAAATGGGTGGAAAATTGGGAAAATTTTATGACATAATAATACATGCCTAATATGATTTGCATGCAATACATCATGAAGCATGTATTTTTAGATACTTTAGTGGGTCATTCTAGACTTTGAATATGCTTCAATTCTTATTAAATTTTATAAAATTAAATAATTGAATGTTATTGTTGAATTTCAACAAATGAAATTGTAGTGCTGTAATTTTATTCTATATTAATTTTCTTTTATGGCTGTAACTCATAGAAAACTTTTCACAGATAAACTTAGTTACAGACTGGTAATGGGGAAGTCATGTGATGCTAGTTTTCAAATTTTACTTGAAAACTCTCATTTCACGTGTTGAATTTTACTTGTAACAAATCTGGAAGTATGGGGATACAGTTTTTATGGTAAATTAGTAGCATGAACATATATCTAGTACTTGGGGCCTCTCAGGGGGGACTTCTGATGAGTGTCTATGCTTGTCAGAAGTCCCATGGGATTTTGCCCTCCTAGGGGGATTGTTCCTGAGCACCATACTGCTGAGCTTGCAGTGTTTGACTGCAAGTCTCATTTATGAGGTCAAGTTATTATGTGGATAGGATTCCTTACATTTCCCTTCTCTGTCTCTCTCGGGCAGGCAGCCGATCTCCCATGTAAGCAACTTCTTGTTCAAGAGTCTCAGTTTCTGTTGCTTTTAACCTGTTCCTCCTTGTCACTTTCTCATTGAGATGCTAATGCTGCTTCTTTTGAGCCAGCTTAAGCGGGCTGGACAATTGAGACCTTCCGCCCCTTGTGGGTGATGAATGATTTTTTGATTTAAGAAACCTCTGATAACTGGGACCTTCCGCTTCTTTGGTGATGTTCATTTTGACTTTTGGTGCAAGATAGCCAAATAGCTGAAGTGCTAGTAAACATTTGGCCACTAAACTAACTAACTAACTATATCTAGTACTTGACATTAGCAATCAATGTCAAGTGAGTTTTGTAAACCATACATTTGATTGGAACAAATGGACCAATTGCTTCTGAAAGCAATTTTGAGTGCCTTCTACAGTATAGCAAAATTATAATTTATTAAACAAGTATATATATATAGTAAGGGAGATACCTAGAAGTTTCTCAATGTTAACAGCATTGAAATCCACGCAGAAATATGAATTTTTAATATTTTTTAGTCAATGACTTAAAACCTAACTTCAATACAGCCTTTTATTATGGAATAAGTTAAATTTTTTGACATTTGAACTGTTGGTACTGCTTGCCAATGCTGTCTTTTGTTAATTTTGTATGTGGCTGTGTGTTGTGAGAGGTGGTGCTAGAGTGCTGTGGAGGTATTTGTAAAGAAGCAATTTCTCATTTTCTATGCATTTCATGTTTCCTTTCATTTTATCAAAAACTTCATATAATCAAAAAGCTTTTGTATTAGTGATTTCAGGAAGGCTTGTCTGTAGATACAAAAATTTTTTTACCAAGATGCTCCCCTTAAACTAGTTTGCACTATAGGATAATCTAAAATGCTTTGTGACTACTTATACTGTATGCAAATTTATTCCAGCACTACTTCATTGATCATTCACAACCCCCTTTCAGTGTCTTCAGAAAGACCATTTTTTGAAAGAGGATGTGCAACCTCCACGTTTCAGTGAATTGTGCATGTGCTAAATGAACCTACAATAATCAATTAATTTGAGGATAAATATTTTACTGAAAATGACAGATTCAAAACTGAGACACTTCCATGAAAGTGAGTTTGCCAGTGGAAACAATTCAACTCTATCTCCATCTCAGGATGGTGACTCACCTGAATGCAAAGTGGTCCATCGGAAACGCAAACACGTGCCTATAGCAAATGGAGAAATGTTGGGAAAGACCAAGAAGCGGCCCAAAATAATCCCAGAGCTTATAGAGCCATCAAGTTCAAAGAGTACCATTGTTGTTGTGTTGCCTACAAGCACAACTGAGCAACAAGGTTCCCGAGTAATCCACATCCGGCCAGCAGATGATAGTTCTAAAGGTATGTTAACCTCACTAGAGCAGCTCAGCTCAGTATTGGAAGCTCTGCCATTTTCAACCATGCATGTGCAAGATATACAAGTGAATCACCAAAAAGAATTGATTGCTGTTCAGCTGTTGGGGGTTAATGAAGAAGATATTGCTTCTCTTTTGCAACTGACTCAGCTTGGACCTTGGTCAGTTATTGTAAATGTTTCATCCAAGCCTACTATTAAGCCAGTAATTGAAAAAATTAGACAGAAGAGGCAAGAAAATATTTCTGTGAAAACTGCTCCAGCCATCCTCAAATGTAACTCACTGGGTAATTTACATGAAATTAATGAAAATGTAAGATCAAATATCATAAAAGGAAATTATTCAGGTATTGACATTAGTGGCCGTGGCAGTAACTTTTTTGTTGTTGGCATGTTTGGCCCATTTGAAGTTATCAAATCTGCAAAGGTTAGAATATCTTCAAAGTTTTGCAGTCTTGAAGACTATTTCTACAAACCAAAATTCAAATCTACAGAAGCTGAATGGGAAAGAGCTAAATCCTGGACAAATTTTCAAGAATGCTTATATAACAATAAAGAATTCACTCCTGAAGATTTAGAAAATGAATTGAATGAGAAAATAAATAAAATTGCCAAGCATTTTATGGATTTTAAACTTGGCACTCTTGATGAAAAGTCCATGAAAGAGAAGAAAATGAATAAGGTTGACTATGCAATGCCTTACCTGCCAACATACAAGGATGTTGAGGTGGGTATTTTTCTTGACCTTCTAATTGCAAGTGAAGACTGATCTATTAGTAATGCTTGACATTTTTTTATGTTCACTCACTACTCAAAATGGTACTTAGGTATGTTGACTTCTGATTGAACATGTATCATACTTTTTTGGGGAGCATCCTTGCCATGACTATTTCTATATCTACATATTTTTCTGGAATCTAACTTTTCTGGATATAATTTTTTATTCTATAAATGCCATTGTTTACCAAATTCATCCAGTTACCAAAAGTCAATTTGTAGTTACTGATTATCTTTATAAATTTCATTTCCATTCTAAGAGAGTGCAAAAAATGAGTAAAAGAACCATTTTCCAGTGAAATTCATAATATTATAACAAGAATTGCTTATCTTGTAGCATTATTAAATTATGAATTACTTCTATTAATAGTATGACATGCTTGATTGATATTAATTTTTATTTTCGCTGCCTCATCTTTAGATTTAGCTATTTATTCTTCAATTGCTGCTTTGAAGTTTAATGAGTAACTTAGATGGAAAAGATGTAATAAAATCTTTAACAAATATAAATTTAGAAAAGCATTTTCACCCAAATAGATATATATACCTGTGTGATAGACAGTGTTTGGTTTAAGGAACTTGATATATTACTAGTTAAATTAAAAGAAATATAGGTATGTATAAATTAAATAGTAATGAATAAATAACCTATTCTAGATAAGTAATTGCTGATTGCACCTGTTGTCAGGTCATTATGCCCAGATATTGGAGAGAAAACTTGTCTTGGTTAAAAACTTGTAGCTTCTCCCATATTACAAAATGTCTACAGAACTTAGCTAAGCTAAAAATTCTGTTATCAATTTCAGATTTATATGCTTTTCATACGAGTTATTTCATGGACCATTGTTTTTATTGCAGTTTCTTGGAAAATTGTTCATGGGCAAGGAAAGTGATGCTGATAAGGATGCTGTGGTTGAACCACTGTGGAAAAGAAAGCATGACCCTAACAGCAAGTATAATAAAGGATTATTTAGTGAAAAGGAAAGTCAAGTTGTTAATGAAAATTGGAATCAGTTTCAAAAGGTCAGTTAATAGGTGATATTTTAAATTCTAGTTTGGCTGAGTGGAGTTGGAAAACTAAAATTAACTCAGGTAGGTAAATAAGGTAAATATTGAGTCTTTCATTTTTACTTATTGTTGATCATTTTTCGTTGTTTTGCAAGATTTTTGCTGCAAGTTATACAAAATATTAACCACTGCATTTATCAACTAAGTTAGTTTCCTTTAGTCTACCAGAAGACTCATTCAAGTGGCTCCTTTTTAGCGCATTTTCTCATTTATGGAAAAAATGCACTATTGTGCTCGCCATGTCCGTCTGTCTGTCTGTCCGTCTGTCCATCCGTCTGTCCGTCCGTCCGTGACCTCAAGTTTTCGTCAATGAGAAAATGCACTCTGTCACTCACTGCAGTGAGTACTGAGTTATTTTTTCATATTTGATACAACTTGGTGGGTGATACTGTCCTTGTCAAGCAAGTCATTGATGGCATTACATGATCTTTTCAAAACAATAGATCACTTCCACCTATATTTCATTTGCTTTATTTGTTCATTTGTTATTCTAACACAGCATCAAATATTTTTAACTGTGCCTAATAGTTCTGCTTGTTGTCAAAAACACTTTCAATCCAAAATTTGCTAGGACATTTTCTTTGTCTTCCCCAATGCACATTTTAAATCCATATTTCTCATCCATTTCATATTATTTGCATCTTGCCAACCTGGCTTGTACTTCTCCACAGCAAACATCTCTTCTTTTTTATTATTATTTACCAACCTCTCTTCTTTATTATTATTATCTTTGAATTAATTCTCATAATGACAGCATTAGCAAAAATTGTATGATTTGAATTTTACTATTCACTCTAGTAAAATATATATACAGCAATCCCTTGATTAGCACGGTTTTGAATACCGCGGAAAAAAAATTTGCGACCTACCCTTAATTTACGCGGTGCCAGTTTTGATTAGCGCGACTTTTTTTTCACAACGCATCATTTTCCCGCCTCTAGCCAGAGATGTTACGTTCGTAACAAAAGTGTTACTTTTTGCATATAAGATCTTATGTTGTTACTTTTGTTCCGACTTTTGGAAAAATTCGCCGAATGTTGTTACTTTATGAATTTCAGCCAATAATTCTTTAAATAAAGTGGTATACACAGAATCATTATCAAGTCTGAATTTATTGGCATCCCGTAGACCATCATCTCATTTACCCTTGGTATTCCAGATTCATCAAATATTGCATGTCCTTCGAGCTCGTCTTCTAGTTGTGATCCAGTTTGTCCCGGACCACAAGAACATCAGGGGAAATGAGATGGCTGATCTGGCTGCTAAAGCAGCTCATGCATTAACCGAGGTATCAGCTGAGGCCGTGATGAGCAGGGAGGACAAGGTGAGAGAGATAAGAGTGGCAGTCCAGAGAGCATGGGAGGAAGGATGGAGACAGAGGGCAGCAATTACTAACACTGGGCACCACCTTTTGAAAATTAGAGACCGAGTAGGATATTGGCCTTGGTCATCCATCAGGGAGAGAACCATTGAAACCACATTGGCGAAATTCAGATTAGGGCATGTGGGACTTGGGGAGCACTTGTTCAGGTTTAATATGACTAACACAGACCTTTGTTTATGTGGGAGAGTTGAAACAATCCAGCACTTCTTCTTGCCATGCCCATTATTTGCTGACAGTTGCTCAGATTTGCTGACCCAACTGCACTCAATTGGAGTTCCAGTTACATTAAAATGCATATTAGGTGGAGGAGAATATCCTTATAAAATCCAAGCACAAATTATGCAAAGTGTATCACTTTTCTTAGCCTCAACGGGAAAGTTGAAGCAACTTTAAACCTAACCAGTAACCTAGACAAAGAACTTCAAAAAGGCCAAATGGCCACAAACCACCAGCACCTCTCCTGCAGATGTACATAGGAATGTAAGTGCATCACCTGTAAGGGGGAATTGCTGGAGGTTGTCTCACTGTCCTTAAGATAAGTCTTTGGACCAAGAAATTAGTCTTTTTAGCCCCCATACCCGGACTGTAGTAGTGGTAAAGGATATGTAGTAGGGTCCGTGGTATGCTCGTAAATATCTAGTCACTTCCCCCTGAGAACAAATTGAATGCTCCAGGCTGCGCCAGCCCATGCTGGACCATTTTGGCCCTATGAATCCTTGTGTCCAAATGACAAGATTAGTGCTAGGTAAGGGTTACTAACCGGTAGACTAATCAGATGCACAATTTAACGCTCATAAGACACAATTATTTTGCCTAATAGACTTATTTATTACAGATTGGCTTGCCAGACAAGGAAGCCTTTTGAGCCGTGAGGTGTATGGAGGACGACTCCACTTCCTCAAGAAGCAGACAAAACAACAAACAACATTTACTTTTGCTGAGACGAAAACTATCCCTTGGAGATTGCTTGTTGCCTGTTGGCCTTTTGTGGAAGACGGACGTGCGGCAGTCATTCTCTTGAACTAGTCGAAATAAGTCAGGTTACTATCTGATTTCGTAGTTTGTAACTTTGTAGGTTCTTTTCACTTAGCTGAATTAGCTCTGTAAGAACTGCAAGGGAAAGGGAAACGCAGGAAAAAAAACAATAGTCATTCATTTGGATTTTGGATCAACTGGCGATGAGGCAGACTCAGACTCTGACATGTCTCACTAGTCACTACCTATGTTGGCCATACCCAGGATGGTGCGGTTTTCTGCTGATTAATCTGGCATTGGCATACAACCATACACAAGTCACAAGGCTCTGAGCCACGGTCAGGAAGATGTGCCAGGTGTGCTGTAATTTTTATTATTAATGCATCAATTTGCGCCATGCGCCATAATATGCCGGTAAAAAAGTGCACCGTCACCGTGCGCCGTGCTCCTGAAGTTGTTTAAAGATGAATGCGCGACAACGCTATCACACACAAACAAATATCTGCATCAAGTTGACTAGATTTCTAATGTGATAACTCAGGTTCTAAGAGTTGGCACATAATGATTATTTATTCATTATTCATAGATCACAATTTGGTTGGAAATTAATTACAAAACTGAATAGTAGGTGACAATCCACATGGCTTGAGATTGGTTTCTTCTAATGAAGGACTGATTTTGGCGAATAGTACAAACCTGAATGTCAATGTCACTATGTCAGGAATATGTTACGTTCCTGACATCCTCCTGGCTGGAGAAATGGGTTTGTGCGGTGCAAACCCATTGAACACAAAATTACAGGCGCCGCACTTTTTTTTAAATTATCAGTTCTCATTTTTTGCAACTTTGAAGATTAATTATATAGACTAAACAACAAACATTAATAAAATATGAGTAGCTTCAAGAGACTCATCGCATGACATATGATGATGAATCAGCATTGCGTAAAAGTATGTAAAGATGATGTTGAGAATTTCTGATGACAGTTATGTCTAGACATATTTTATTTACAAAAGATTTTGCACTCTAAACTATTTTCCATTAAATATAATGATGAAATTATTTCTGACTCTTTTCATTAACTCTAGAATCTTAAATAACCCTATCAGTGCACTAATAGTATATACTGCACAAGCAAAATCTGTCATTTAACACTAATATTTGTTTACTTAATATGCCCAATTTCTGAGGACTTGATTATTCACCACTTGCCTCATGTCTGAACAGAATATTGTCTCATTTCCGGACGGCCTACAGAAGGTAAACAAACGATGTTCGTCAGTTTGCATAAGAAATTTGTAGAAAATTTCTTTGAAAATAAATTTCTAGATTTTTACTTTCACAAAATTTCCATGTCAAGGAAAATCATAGATTATATATTGATGGATAATATAATTAAATGCATGATGGCAAATGGGACCCTCATTTTCATTGGAGGGCAACATAAGAATGATGAACAAGAAAATTGACACTATGTTTCAGCAAAAAATATGAACACAGAAGTAAATGTAGGTGGGAAAGCACTGCTGCACCAACATCCTCACTTCTCAACAGCAGCCGGTACACTGCACTGACTACAGGTCTCAGGTCTGCAGCTATCAACATATTACATCTGGCAGCAGCTGCCGCTGGCCTCTGCCAATCACCGAGTGCGTTCAGCCGTCTGCGTTCCATTTCCAGTAGTCTTTAACTATCTATTTGTTATATATTGATTACAATATACAATTTAAATGTGTTAGCTAGCTTATACAGAGTGGTGCAGAACCGATTGAGCAGTTTTGAGGCAAAATAAAAGAGTAATGGAGGTAACATACCATTTAAAATACTTATGTTTTGAAAACACTATCAGGAAGATGGTGTCTGTTAGCTGCATCACACTGTTGGAGTCATTCTCAGAAGTTTCCTACNCTGTCTCTTATACACATCTAGATGTGTATAAGAGACAGACCTTGCTCCATACAAACTTTACAAAGCTAATGAATAGACTTATCAATAATTGTTTACCCAAAAATCCCAAAGTGGTAAACACCACCTTGGCCTGTTGGTCATTATTGAAGGCAATAACAGCCCTTTTTAGCCATCCATTATGATCCACATACTGTTATTGTTAGTAGGCTAATTGCAACATAAAAAATAACTATTCAAAAAGACAAAAAAAAAACTAAAAAAATAGAAAAAATTATTCATTTTTATTTTTTTTTTTAATAAAAAAATCACCAACCCTGGTTCAGAGAACTGGCCAGCAGTACTGGCGCCTCAGGTAATCAGTCCAATGCTTCACTGGGTTGAAGTGTAGCAGGCTTTCGTGGCCGTGAGTCGTAACCGTGATTGTTGTTGTCATTGTTTTGTTTGTTGATGTATTGTTGTTGTTGTACTTGCTTGTCAATTTTAATGCAACCCAAAATAAAAGTAAAATTTGAATACATCCATCTTATCATTTTAGGATTGTTATAGGAAAAAACTGGGCCATTTGCTTGCTAGGAATTGTAAAGGACTTGCGGGATGCATGGCAGGGTCCCAATTTTTTCTTAAGTGCTTTCAGTATGTGAAAGACACATGGTGGGGAGGAATGTTAGGGGCCACATGCTGGTATATAAACTATTTA